TCCTGAAAGGCAAAGAGGATGGACATCAGAAGAAAAAGAAAATAGGATACAACCTCGTAACCTGCTACAGAGGGCCTCTGAAAGCCAGAAGAAAACAGGAAACAACCTTGAAACCTGCCACAGAGGGCCTCTGAAAGCTTCTGCAGTATAGACTGTCAAAGCAGATGCTGAGCCTGATGGCCAACTGATGGGCAGAGTGAATGGAATTTTATGTAATAAGTGGGAAATAGTAAGAGCTGGAGGGGATGGGAACTCCACAAGGAGAGCAACTGAACAAGATAATTTGAACACAGGGAACTTCCCAGAGACTCATACTCCAACTAAGGACTATTCATGGAGATAACCTAGAACTCCTGCACAGATGTAGCCCATGTCAGTTCAGTGTCCAAGTGGGTTACATAGTAATGGGAAGAGGGACTGCCTCTGACATAATCTGATTGGCCTTTTGTTGATCACCTCCCCCTGAGGGGGGAGCAGCCTTATCAGGCCATGGTAGAGGACAATGCAGCCAATTTTGATGAGAACTGATAGACTAAGATCAGAAAGAAGAGGAGAACCTCCCCTATCAGTGGACTTGGGGAGTGGCATGCATGCAGAAAGGGGAGGGAGGGTGGGATCGGGAGGGGAGGAGAAAGGGACTTATGGGGGAATACAAAGTGTAATTATTAAAAAATTAAAAAAATAAAATAAAAATTAAAAAAAGAAAAAAAGTGTAATTAATAAAAAAAATGGGGTGCAGATCTAAACAGAGAATTCTCAATTGAGGAATACTGAATTGCAGAGAAACACTGAAAGAGATGCTCATTGTCCTTAGTCATCAGGTAAATACAAATCAAAAAGACCTTGAGTTTTCACCTTACACCTACCAAAATGGCTAAGATCAAAAACTGAAGTGACAATATATGTTGGACAGGATGTGGAGAAAGGGGACCCCTTTTCCATTGCTGCATTGGAAATGTACAATGCTACAACATGGGAATGTAAAATTGTAAAACCACTTTGGAAATCAATGTGTTGCTTTCTCAGACAATTAGTAATGGTGCTTCCTCAAGATTCATCTTTACCACTCCTAGGAATGTATTAAAAAGTGCTCAAGTATACAACAAGGACATTTGCTCAACCATATTCATAACAGCTTTATTTGCAATAGCCAGAAGACAGTAACAACCCAGATACCCCTATGTTGTGGAATGGATATAGCAATTATGGTACATTTACACAATTGAACACTACTCAGCAATTAAAAGCAAGGAAATCATGAAGTTTTCAGGCCAATAGTGGAATCTAGAATAGTAGATCACCCTGAGTGAAGTATCCTAGAAGCAGAAAGATACACATGGTTAAATACTCACCTGTAGGTGGATATTAGACATATAAGATAGGATAAACCTGTTAAAATCTGTACACCTAAATAAGCTAAGCAAGGAGGAGGACCCTGGGTAAGATGATACATCCTGATGCAGTAAGGCAAAGGGGATGGAAATCAGAAGAGTGATTAAACAGGCAACAGGACAGGAGCCCTCTACAGAGGACCTTTGAAAGACTTTATACAGCAAGTTATCAAAGGAGATGCTGAGACTCATAGCTAATCTTTAGGGAAGTGCATGGAATCTTATGAAATAAGGGGAAGATAGGAAGACCTGGCGGGGACAGGAGCCCCACAAGGAAAGCAAATGATCAAAACATTCTGGGTACAGGGTTCTTTTCAGAGATTGATGCTCCAACCAAGGATGATGCATAGATATAGCCTAGAATCCCTAGAAACCCTGCCAGGATATAGCCCATGACATCTCAGTTTTCAAGTATGTTTCCCTAGTAATGGGAACAGGGCCTGTCTCTGCTGTGAACTCAGTGGCTGGTTCTTTGATCACCTCCCCCCTGATAAGGGAGTAGCCTTATCAGGCTACAGAGGAAAACAATCCAGCCAGTCCTGGTAAGATTTAATTGGCTATGGTCAGAGGGAATGGGAGGATGACCTCCCCTATCAGTGGACTTGGGTAGGGGTAAGGGAGGTGGAAGGGTGGTGTTGGGACATAATTAGGGAGGTGGCTACAGTGGTAAACAAAGTGAATAAACTGTAATTTATAAAAACATAAATAAATTTTTAAAGTGAAAAGTAGCAAATAAACACAGATTGCCTTACCACCTTCAAACAAGTGTGGGCTACAATCATAACTATACATGTGGATCATTGATTGGACACTCAGTGTAGTGTTTTAGTTGAAATATATAAGAATGAACTGGTAGGACGATAATTTAAGTAAGGACACTGTCCTAATGTGTTTTAATGTAATCATGTCATGTTAGAATTTTCTAATATATTTTATAATTGGCCAAATAAAATAGACAAAACCTGTAAGATAACAACTTTAGAATAACAGACTCAAATGAAATTGTTGGATCACTACATTTAGTTCAGGTTTTTATTAGTAGGGTAGAACTACTTTAATATTAAGTTAATAAAAGTAATATAGGGAGGGCAATGTAGCAGAAATTAAAGACACACTCAAGAGTCAAAATGAAACATGATAATGAAAATATGTGCCTTCCATATATAAAATATATAATACATGTAATATATATATGTATATACATATGGTATGAACTAAATCAGATCTAAAACTTAAGGATAATATAAGTAACGGAATAAGTATGTTTAAATTAATATGTTAAAATATTTAACAAGTTGCATGAATGAGATATCTTCAGCTTTTTTCTGGAGGCACTTAATACTATGAAAATTCCTCTTAGCACTGCTTTCATTAGGTCCCATAAGTTTGGGTAATTTGTGCTTTCATTTTCATTGAATTTTAGGAAGTCTCTAATTTCTTTCATCATTTTTTCTCTGCTATCATTGAGTAGAGAGTACTTTAGTTTCCATGTGTATGTAGGCTTTTTGTTATTTCTGTCATTGTTGATGTCAAGTTTTAGACCATGGTGGTCTGATAGGATACAAGGGATTATTTTGATCTTCTTGTTTGTGTTAAGGCTTGCTTTGTGCCTGACTATATGGTCAAATTTTGAGAAGGTTCCATGTATTGCTGAAAAGAAGGTATACTCTTCTGTGTTTTGGTGAAAAGTTCTATAGATATCTATTAAGTCCATTTGATTTAGGTCCCCTGAAAGTTTCATAATTTACCTATTTAGCTTCTGTCTAGATGATCTGTCACTTGTTAGAGTGGAGTATGAGGCTCATAGGCAAACTTTGGGCAGAATGCAGGGAATCTTATGAAAGAAGGGGACAGAAGCTATTCAAGGAGAGCAACAGAACCAAGAAATCTGGGCCCAGGGTTCTTTTCTGAGACTGATACTCCAACCAAGGACCATGCATGGAGATAACCTAGAACTCCTGCACAGATGTAGCCCATGGCAGCTCAGTCTCCAAGTGGGTTCCCTGTAAAGGGGAACAGGGACTGTCTTTGACATGAACTCAGTGGCTTACTCTTTGATCCCCTCACCCTGAGGAAGGTGAAAACTTGTCAGGCCACAGAAGAAGACAGTGCAGACAGTCCTGATGAGACCTGATAAACTAGGGTCAGATGGAAGGGGGAGGAGGACATCCCCTATCATTGGACTTGGAGAGGGGCATGGGAGGAGTTGAAGGAGGAAGGGAGGGATTGGGAGGGAATGAAGGAGGGGGCTACAGCTCTAATACAAAGGGAATAAACTGTAATTAATAAAAAATAAAATTAAATTTAACAGTAATTGGTGTTGGTGAAAACTCAATTCATTTCTTTAGAAAAATCCACAAAGAATATTTCATTACAGTTTTCATAGGAATCAAGTTATACTCTTTTGGAAAAAAAATGAACCTTTGATATCATCAATGTCTTTGAAGAACCCTGGGGTTAAATAACAATGTTCATTATTGTATAATGCATTACTATGTGTTAATATACGTGTTAATATAAAAATCAAAACCTCTGCTTACCTGAATTTTTCGAAGTTTATTCATATGTTCTTCTAGCTTTTGGCAATATTCTGTCAGCTGTTTGGAGAGCTTCTTCCAACGCCCCTCAACCTCTTCAAATTCTGACTGATATTTCTGGCTTATTTCTGAAGGTGCTTTCTTGGCCATTTCCTTCACAGTAGTGCTCAGATAGTTGAAGCCATTCTGGTGCTCTTTTAAGGAACTTTGCAAAGCCTCAACATAAAAATAGAAGTACATTAACACTAACATGCATAATTGATGAGTTTAAATCATGTCAAGAAGAAATTAAATTAAAGGTTATGGAATTTAGAGAAAGAAACACAGTAGAATGTCTAGTAAAGCATTCCACATATGGTTTTATAAATTATGTTTAATATACTCCAAGGCAGTTTTATTTGAATAGAAATTTGGAATACCTCATTTTGCTGAATTACCATATTTAAATAATTATATTTATTATATACATAGTACATTTTAACTTAGGCTACAGTGAAGCCTCAGTAAGCCAATATTCAAATTTCTTTAATGAAATTATGACTAAATTATATTTATATGTATGATAAAATTTGTGCTATCAGGATAGCTGATTACTAATATTAGTTAACTAAAGTTTTATAATAATTTCTAACTTTTCACTTTTATGTTGTGTTTGCATTCATCTGCTTGTACCTTTGAATATATTCTAATTATTTGAATATTAAAGGTGAAGAATGTTCATAACTTATGTGTATATATACAATTCAATGAAAGCATATGTATTACTATGAAGTATTGAAGAGTTTTCCTAAAAAAATAATTCCCATCATTAAAAGAATATATAAACTTTTGACTTACACTTACTATATACTTGAAGTATTTGTCTTATTATGCACTTTATCCTTTACAATTGCATTTGTAATTTGTCAGGATAATTCAAAGTTTATTATCTCCTTGTTGACTTTCTTATGATGATTCTTCCTCAGTTATCGAATAAATTTTTTTTGTCTGTGTGTTACTTCTCCTTGGTGTTTTTTGATTGTCTCTTATTATATCTTACTGAGTTTTATTGCTCGAATTCCAGGTATTTAAAAATATTTCACCTCTCTAATTTTTTCAAGACATCATTGATCATAGTAATATTGATTTTCACTTATGAAGCAGGGTCCTTACATGTTCCCAATGATACTTATGACTTCTCATCTAGTACTTGTTTTTCTGGTCCATTATTAGTGTCTACTCATTTATGCAACATTTGTTCTGTACTTTCTCTACACCCTAATTGCTTTACATTTTTCTGAAATTGATTAGTTCTTTTGGATCACAACATGTTCAAGTAAAGATCAGAATCACTACATCAAGTATGCAGAAAGAGGAACCCTACTATATTTTTTCTATATTATAATAGAGGAAATAACCTACAATGGGGGAATATATATTTGAAAATACTTAAATAAAAATGCTTTAAAATTACCTTAAAAAGGAACTATTGCACAAAGCCTTTTAAAAGGATTGTAAATAACAAAAATGTAATAGTAATATTTATTAACTTAATTATTAAAATATAAATATAATATAATATGTTACATATTATTATCACTTAATATTACTAATATTTAATATTTAATAGTTAATATTATTAATATATTACTTAACATTAATATATTTCAGATTTTAAAGGTAAGTATGCAACATGGAATTTTTTGAATCAACAGAATCTTAGTTCTCTCATGTTTTCTTATAAAATTAGTTTCTCATATTAGTATTTAAATTTCCTGACTTAAGCTTTTAAAAAAGCTATTCAATATCAAATATTGAATCATAATCTTATAGTTGATTAAATTTATATTCTAACTAATTATATAAGTCTGTTGTTTTTTTTTAACCTATCCTTAATATATGTGGAGGTACAAATGATAAATTATATGATTTAATTTTAATAATCATACTTGAAACTTAAAATTTACACTGAACTTAAAAGAAAATTATAGTTTACCACAGAATTTTCTAACCATTAATATCCATATATGTTTGCTTACATTTATAAAATAATATATATAGAAAAAATTCATGTTTTATTCTTAAATTGTCCTGTTCACTTTTTTCAACTGCAGTTGTATGATTCCTACCGTTACTATCTTTATTCATATTTAATATTACATCAATGCAATTTCTTCACAAATAAGACATGTTCTTTGTTCCTTAAGATGTTCAAATGTCCACAGACCTGTAATTTCCCGAGTCTCTGCTCCATTATTTCATATTCAGTAACAGTAAGATGAGGTATAGAGAGTTTCTTTTCTGACTCCTGGATCCATGTCCGGATTGTACTCATTGTTTCCTGATAGCGCATTGGTGGTAAAGTATCAAAAACTTTTATCAAAGGGGAAAAAGAAAGAGGATAATAAAAAATCAATTTTAACTATGTTATGGTTTTGTAATTTGTCAGCAAATATAATTATATTACCTTAAGTAGTAGTCAATGTGTATGTTTGAACTATAATGCAATCTATGATATGATGAAGCTGCCTTCTTACCTAAAACATTTCTGGTATAATAAGAACATTTATGAGATATGTTGAATTTTCAAGTCATCACCCCAAACTCTGAGTTAAGATATTCATTTTTAATTCATTTTACATCCCTGTCATAGCCCCCTCCCTCCAATCCTCCTTGTTGGTTAGGAAATAGAGAGAGTTAGAGGCTTAGTATTTTTACTAACGTCATACAGATTCTATTTGAAAAAAGAAATATATAAAGCATAGGGAACCTACCACAGAGGGCCTCTGAAAGCCTCTGCCCTGCAGACTATCAAAGCAGATGCTGAGCCTGATGGTCAACAGTCAGGCAGAGTGAATGGAATTTTAAGTAAGAAGTGGAAAATACTAAGAACTGGAGATGACAGGAACTCCACAAGGAGAGCAACAGAACAAGAAAATTTGAACACAAGGAACTTCCCAGAGACTCATACTCCAACCAAGGACTATTCATGGAGATAACCTAGAACCCCTGCACAGATGTAGCCCATGGCAGGTCAGTGTCCAAGTGGGTTACCTAATAATGGGAAGAGGAACTGCCTCTGACACAATCTGATTGACCTGCTTTTTGATCACCTCCCCCTGAGGGGGGAGCAGCCCTACCAGGCCACAGAAGAGGACAATGCAGCCACTTTTGATGAGAACTGATAGACTAAGATCAGAAAGGAGAGGAGAACCTCACCTATCAGTAGACTTGGGGAGGGGCATGCATGCAGAAACGGGAGGGAGTGTGGGATCGGGAGGGGAACAGGGAGGGGCTTATGGGGGATACAAAATGAATAAAATGTAATTAATAAAAAATTGAAAAAAAAACATAGGGAACAAACTTCCTTGTGATGATTTGTTTCAGAAAAAAACAATACTATTACCCCAAATCCTTAACATTTTAAAAGAAACATCATCATTGGTTTTAATAAATGATGTCAATTTATATGATTAAAATGTATCTTGAAATCTAATATAATTCCCACATGTATTATTATACACCTGTGAGCTATATGTTAATAAATCCATTTATAATTAATGGAATTCAGATTGTAAAATACAGCACATTATATTTTTTCTATTAATAATCAGACCCAGTATTTTAAACAAAACCATTTATTTTCATAAAAACACTTCTAAAAGGAATATATTTTTTTTTCAGTACATATTTTTACACATCTGTTGGAAAGCACTTATATATGTGATACCTATACATAGCCTGTTTTTTTTTTTATTGAGAAATTAGCGAAGAATTAGACACTATGAAATAATAAGTTGGATATGGTAACACATTCTTGTAATGCTTGAAAGTAAGAAGTGAAGACAAGGGGCATCCAAGATGGCTGTGACAAGTGGGCATCATATCTGAGAGGCACAGGCTCTGAAACTGAAATTGGTGAGTGGAGAGGCAATTGAAGCCAGAACATTAACATTGAGGCTTTCTGGGAGAGAGGAGACAGCCTTTGAGCTGAGATATTTTGGATTGAGGTCACCCTTGTACATCTCTGGAGATTGAGAGTGGCGAATATTGAACGCTACTGCACTTCCCCTTGCCCCATACACTGGCCTCCCTACTCAGGGAGGTGGCCAGCATTGGCCCTTGCTACAAGAACAAGACTTCTTGCTTAATGACTGGGCAGACAAAGGTGGGCCTCCCAGGTGTGCAGTTGTAGAAGGAGGCTCTATGGGCCAGAGTGATTTATCTTAGAAGCAGAAAGACACACATGGTATATACTCACTTATAAGAGGATATTAGACGTATAATATAGGATAAACATACTAAAATCTTTACACCTAACGAAGCTATTCAGATACTAAGTCTCAAAACCAAGCCTTCGGCAGAGTACAGGGAATCTTATGAAAGAAGGGAGAGTTAGTATGATGTGGAGAGGATAGGAGCTCCACAAGGACCAAATACATCTGGGCACAGGTTTTTTTTTTTTTTTTTTTTTTTTTTTTTTTTTTTTTTTTTTTT